AAAAGTGACTAGATTGAAATTCAAACGGAGCGTTCCTGTGCATTGCGGCGCTGGTCACTTTTGGATCCTAAACCACAGAAAGCGTTCTACCTACGCATTCGCTTCTCGTAGACAGAAGACTACACCCTAGTCCCCTAAACCCTTTAACCTTCAGCGCCAAACCTTAAGAACCCCTCTACCTCCTCTAAAGGGGACCCCTCGCTTCGTTCGGCTGTCCCCATCGGCCGACGGGCGTATGGAGTTGCAGTTTTGTGCGAAGTTGATTTTTTTGTTTTTGGTATTAACTTAGGTTCGATTGTGCATCCTAAAAATTCGTACCTAAGTGAAGTGACTAGTCGACAACTAAAAAGTAACAAGCCGACACACCATGTCGAATAAATTAAATACTCCAAAATGTATTTCCGCCGTCAATATATCAAGTGAAAGGCCACATATAATCACCGCTCAGGAATCTTGGCATTGTTGATCCTGTTCTTGTCCCGGTAAGCAATTACCTCACGAACGCACTCATCAGTTGTGGTAAGGAAGAGCTTTTGCGAGCTTTTCTGACGACGAGCTGTCTTTCTTTCGTATGTGTTGGTTTCTGGTTGTAACATATACGTTCTAGCCTCCAACTGACTAAACTACAATTATTAATGAATGAGTGTTCATATTTAAAAAAAAAAAACTTTTTTGGCCAATACGAAGACCTTCGTCTTGTACTTGCAGCGAGCCACTCTAGCCAATCAATTTATAAATGCGTCGGTATTATCGACGTGGAAAACTGTACGGCAGCTGATTATTAACAGGAGGGGCATACCTATCCCGCTGCACCAAATTCTCAAACACACATTCAAATTAGTGTCCTTATGATCCAGACCCAAGGACACTCTGAATGTATATTTTTTCTTCACGTGAAACGGAGGGAGCGATTTCGACACCATGTGATTTAATAGCACCATGAAAAGGTAACGGAACAGAGCAATTTCCATAAGTCAGTAGTTGTGATTTGACTTGTAAATAGTATTATTGCCAGCGAATTTCAGTAGTTATAAAATAGTACTTCATTTCATCTTCACATTAATAGTATTCTGCATAGGATGATAATATAGCGCAAGCTAAGAACCGTTTTTTTTTCTAAATACAACGGCACTCCTTCAACAGACGTTGACTCGGTTTTGTATTTTTGCCGCCAAGCGTTCGTTTCCCACTACTACAAGCTCGTTTCTCTGTTTCCTCTCATCAGCTCGTTAGTTCCACGAGGCACGCAATACACCGGCCGAATGCTCCGCTCACGGACACGAAAGGCTCGTACTTTTGGGTCAGCTTCATTCGTGGTGAACGATTCAGAACTGGATATGGCCAGGTCGCTTGGCTTGTTGCGACAAGATGTACCAATTCAAGGGACAGACTCGAGCAAGAGCAAATACGGAGTGGCGTACCAGCGACGAGAGAACATCGGGATCGAGACTCACGGATCCCAGAAGGTTTTTCAAGAACGCTGCAAAGAACTTGCTCAATCGTCCGGCTTTCAATTGTTTGCTGACAGCTTTAAGTAGCAAGGCAAACAATAGTGGAATGCAAAGTATGTTTGCAAAAAACTGAATGGTCAACAATTTTTCGACAAGAACACCTCGTATGATGAAATTGAGTGCCCGTTTGCTAGCAATGTCAACGGAGTTAACGGAAGCTGGAAGGTGACTCCCACTAAGTTTGGTCACAACCACGTCATGCGTGTGGGATTCACAGAACAACCTCTTGCCGAGGGTATTATCGCTCGTTCAAACTTTGTCAAGAGAAATACAACGCAAGATCTAGCGACGCTGACACACTTGATCGAAGCAGAAATATTGCCAAGGTATGCCGGAAAAACCGACAAGATGACAGGCGCAGCAATTTCCAGATTTCTAGTGGGTAAAGGCAAAAACATCGGGCCGAGTGTTATTTCGCGGATCGAGAGTTCGATTGATGAGCGATTGGGTGGTGATATGACTGACAGCTATCCAAAGCTTGAGTCTTACCTGGGATTAGTTGCTGAGAAAAACCCGGGCTCAATAATGAAGTTCGAGAAATCCGAAAACGGAACGTTTATTCGAGCATGTTTTATTCCAAACATCGGAATCCAAGTCGCCAAAATAAGTCGTCGATTGTAGGGCTTTGACGGGACCCATCTCAAAGGTGAGATGAACCAGTGAGGGGTTTTCTGTTGGCAACTTCAAAAGACTTTAACAGTTCGATACTTCCTTCGCTTTTTCTCTCGTTCCTGTTGAGAACAAGGAGCACTGGATTTGGTTTCTATACGTCGTGAAGGAGGCTTTGGGCGACATAGAAGCTCTTACAGCTCTCTCTGACAGAGATAAAGGTCTTCAGGCGGGAGTAAACACAGATTTTTTCCGCGCGCTGGATGCCTTCGCCATATAAAAGGAAACATCACCAGCAAAGAAAAAAATCATTAATGAACAGAGCGCGCGTGATAACCTCAAAATGGTCAATTGCGACTGTGAAAACGACTCCAAGTCATTCGAATCGGAACTCAAAATCACAAAACCAGCAGCAGCAACATGCGATGTGCGGATGAAGAACGGCGAGACTAACAAGAAGCACGTCGTGAAGAGCGATTTCTGGCCCTGATTGCAGAAATTGTTAAAAAAAAAAAAAAAAAAAAAGCAAAGAGAGAGACTAGAACAAGACATTGAGAAGAAAGATGATGTGCGCATTTACCTATGCATAAAAAAACAGATCGAATCTGACTAATTCCCGTTTGTCGAACTCTAAAGTTGTAAAGACGGTAAATGTTTTGAATTCGTCTACCTCGCTTGACAGGATCAAAGGGCAATGGCCATTGCAGTTGCCGATAACACCGAGGTGCACTTCCCATGCCCCATTCGGCAGCCTGCCGGAGTGATGTGATTGCGTTGCTCATAGCAAGCATTCCTAGGCGGCACCTTTCGGGTGCACACTCCAGATCGCCATCCTTCAGTGGAGTTACGATACGTCCTCGAGTCCCCTTGCTTACAGGAAACGCTGTGTCAGCAGCCATACCGGTACCTGGAACTGTAATGCGAACATCGGCTAGCTTCTCCTGCAAGGCGAAGCTCATCTCGCCGTCGTTCCATGAACCTGGACAGTTGAGCTTCGCCCAGATTAGAGTGCCGTCGCAACCGTAGCATAATGTCCCCGTTATGAGTACTGAATACAGCCAACCTATAAAAACAGAAGTCATTAAAAATAAAAGCAAAATGTTAACATCTCCTGCACTTGTGATATTATTGTGATCTGCTGGTAGGGGAGTGTGATACCTGAATATCATAAATGCCTGAAATCTAATGCAAATCTAAAGGGCTTCACTTGGCTTCAGTATTGTGCGTACTTAATGTGCTAGATTTATGGCACTTGTGATAACAAAATAATCACGCGTTTTATACGACCTTTCAGACTACCTTTCTCAACAACTGGAAATGGCACGCTCCAAGCACAACAACGAAGACCTCACCGCGGTGGCGCAGTCGCTGCAGTCCAAACGAACTAAGACAAGTACTAAACGAACGTACTCTTCCAAGATCAACACAATGACAGCGTGGCTAGCCTCCCACTACCCAGAAACGATAGATACCGAGTCCGAGTCCCAAAAACTGATAATTCCTCTCCCCACAGACGCCATTCTGTCATTTTTTGGGCACATATGCAGTCCTGCTGACACATGCGATCGAGGTAACGTGGCCTCTACG